TTGGCAGGTTTGTCTGGACATTGAAGCTTTGAATTTGTTAAAGCCTTTGTGTAACAGCTAGTGATAGAGTCCAGTTAGCACACTAGGCGTCTGTTTTAAGGAGGGAATCTCTAAGAAACATTCGCAGCTGGCAAGCCCAGGGGGAGAGTACCCACCCTCTGTGTTCGGAGTAGATAAGACCCTTGTAGTTATACAGTAGTCTACCTTAGAACAGGTGACAGCACTGTCAATCCGCATCATCCTCCCCAACGTAAGTTGGAAGGTCAAAGGAAAGACAGCACTGAAACGTAGTACCTATTGGCAGAATCAATAAGACTCTGCAGTAGGATTCAACAAGTTTGGACAACCAAACTCATAAGAACACACAATACATTGTCCAACAAAGGACACTGAGTGGACATCCAAATAACAACTGTTATCCATGTCCAATCTGGAGTCTGACGTGGGATATCATCTCCGCAGAGACCTTCAGAACCCTTACGCCCAGCGCTCCTCTTACAGGAACGAAGGGCCGCGGCAACCCTTTGTCCAGTGGTCCCATCGACAACATCGCACAGTGAGAGGTGAGACTTTTGCGACCACTCAAGACACTGATACATGGGAAAGTGTTGATTCCGCAGACTCGCATTCAGTTGCCACTGTAACAATGGCACTGAGAGAGCTTGACTCGTTTAGTCAAAAATTCACAGGAGAAACGAAATCCTCTGTGACTTTGGACAATCTGCGTTCCACTTACGCAGCATGGGAAGCCACACATAAACTGCAAGCCGGCTTTGACAGATTAATAACAACCGACAAGTTCCATGTTATCATGTCCAAAACCGGTGGAGCAGCACACGATACTTGCTTATCCTTGTTAACTGAAAAGGAAGACGAGTTAGCAAAACATAATGAATCATTGCAGTCCAATTATTTGAGAGATAAAGGCACTGCAGAGCAGGCTATAGCCACATGGGATGCACAGACAGCAGAACAACGAGGAGACGCTGTCCGGCCCACACTTCCACCTGAACCACCACAAGCTGTCAACTTTTTGGGAGATCCGGTTGCTAAACTTTGGATCCGTCTTTTGCAGGCTTACCCCAAGGATTCCGCCGCCAAGATCCAAGCTTATGGAGATTTCAAGGTTGAAGATAATGAGTCGATTACTACAGCTAGTCAGAAAATGTCTAAGTTAGCTCTAGATTTGAAACAACCACAAACACAGGCAGCTGAGAAGCTACTCAATGCG